AGGTGAGGTGAGTCTCTTGAAGTCAGCATATTTTTGGTCCATCTTTTTAATCCAGTGAGTCATTCTGTGTCTTTCGAATGGGGAATTTAATCCCTTTACATGTAGAGTTACTATTGAAAGGTGTTGATTAACTCCTAGCATTTTATTGATTTTTATTTAGATGTCTTAAGTGCCTTTTGTTTCCTTCTAATTTTCTGGTTGTCTTCTGTATTTTTTGGTTCCTTAGGGTGATAGAAAAACTATTTTTTTCTCTTTTGTTAGCATTTTTGTTTTGCTGGTAAGTATTGTTCTTTCTTGAATATTCATGGGAGTAATAGTGGTTTTTGAGGTATCAAGCCCAATACTTTCTTGAGAATTTCTTGTAGAGCTGGTTGTGTGGTAGTGAACTCCTGAAATTTTTGTTTGTCTGAGAAATATACTATTTGTCCTTCATTTGGGAAGGATACCCTTGCTAAGTAAAGTATTCTTGGCTGGCAATTTTTGTCCTGTAGTGTTTTTGAACATATCCCATTCCTTTCTGGCCTTTAGGATTTCTGATGAAAAGTCTGATGTTAGTCTGATTGGGGCTTCCTTATAGGCGACTTGATGCTTCTCTCTTGCAGCTTTTAAGATTCTCTCTTTGTCTTTGAGTTTTGCCAGTTTGATTATCACAACTTTTTGGGTTGAATGTGTTTGGGGATCTTTGGGCTTCCTGAATCTGAAGATCTGTGACTTTCCCTGTACCTGTGAAGTTTTCTGCTATTATTTCATTGAATATGTTTTCAGTGCTGTTTCCTTTGAAGAATACTAACTTGTGCAATCTGCTTCTGTACACCTAGCTTGCTCTAACTTAGCTACAGTAAAGCCATCTTAAAAGCTGTTATGCCTAGGGGTACACTTTACTCCCCCCTTCCCCAGGACCTGCTAGATGCACAGGATGTTTTGCACCCATGAGCACAGCTGAGCTGCAGGAGATAAAGTAAATAGGTTACAGTAGAGCATGGAACTTTCCATGAAAACATGTTTTCATAGGGCTGCTGGGTGAAGGGTCACCTCACACCTGGGTAAGAAGAGATGAGTATGTGGTTGCATGAGGAGGGGTCGCTGAGAGCTGGCCAACCTCTCCTCTGCACAGGAAAAGCTCAGAGCTGGCAGTCTGTCACAGGAAAAGCTCAGAGCTGACAGTCTGTGGTTTTCTTGCTAACGCTAGCACAAGCCTGTGACCGCTAAATTGTAAAGTGCAGAAGTATTCAGTAACCTTTAGGCAAAGCTAACCTGCAGATGGCCCAATGTTTATTAGTTAGGAAATCAAAGGGGAAATCACCTACAAACAGGTGGGGTGCCCTCCAATGGGCTTTAAGGTCACTTAAGTTAACCAATGAATACTGTTTATTGCTTTGTCTCCTGGCTGCCAGGAAAGCTGCCCTAAAAAATGTATAAAAAGACAGCTGAACAGCCTGACGGGGTCTCACCCCAGCTTGGCGGTGAGAACCCAACGCGTTGGAAATAATAAACCTCATGCCGTTTGCATTGCTC